GAGAGAGAGAGAGAGAGAGAGAGAGAGAGAGAGAGAGAGAGAGAGAGAGAGAGAGAGAGGTCGTCACCGCGCGTTTCTCCCCTCCTCTTCCTCCTCTTCCTCCTCCTCTTCCTCTTCCTCTTCCTCCTCTTTATCTATTCTGTACGTTACAGATGAGAGCATGGAGTACATGTACGCGCGCGGAGAGGGGGAGGTGTTCCAGGAGAGTCTCCGCTGGCTTGGTTCCTCCTGCGAGACACTGACCATCGCCGGCGCCCTCGCCGTCGGAAACTTTGCCCGCAACGGTACGACTCAGACTCAGACTTGTGTTCTGCCGTGCAAAATATTCTGTCAGGAATCCTGTTGTGTTCTAAACAAGGGACGATACTCGAATGAAGAATCTTGTATTCATCATCATCATCATCATCATCATCATCATCATCATCATCATCATCATCATAATCATCATAATCATCGTCCTCGTTTATTTGTTGACGCAGTACTAAATTATTCCCTCACGGATTTTTTGCGTTGAATACAATACGATTCCTTGTTGTAACATTCCCCAAGTGGAATACACAAGATTCCTCGTGCAGAATACAGTACGACTCCTCGCACAGAATACGATATTTCGCCAACAGAATGCAGCTGGATTCCTTGGTAGGAATACAATAGGATTCCTTACTTGGGACCTTACGAGTGACAGGAGAGAGTGGAGCGGAAGATTGAGGCTTGTTGTCCCGCAGGACCCACCACTCTTTTGTATTCCAAGTAAGGAATCCTGTTGTATTCCAAGCAAGGAATCATACAGCTGTATTCTGTCGCTTGACGAATCCAACATTCTGTACCCCCGGGATGGTGTAATCAGCTTAATTAGCTTAGTTAATTAGCTTAACTTAATTGTTGATTAATTATCACCGTCTCACATGGCATGAAATTCATATTTTTTTGCACCGGCCCTTATTTGTTGACGCAGTACTAAATTAGTCCCTCACGAAGAGTGGTGGGTCCTGCGGGACAACAAGCCTCAATCTTCCGCTCCACTCTCTCCTGTCACTCGTAAGGTCCCAAGTAAGGAATCCTATTGTATTCCTACCAAGGAATCCAGCTGCATTCTGTTGGCGAAATATCGTATTCTGTGCGAGGAGTCGTACTGTATTCTGCACGAGGAATCTTGCTGTATTCCACTTGGGGAATGTTACAACAAGGAATCGTATTGTATTCAATGCAAAGAATCCTGTA